TACTCTACGGTCGCGGCGCGGCACCGTGGTGCGGGTGCACCCGGTGCGGTATATCGAGATGGCTGATAACGTGGGCGGGAACGCGATATGTACACCGGAGGATTGCGGAATCCCGGGGTTACGGTCGCGAGAACCCTCGCTACGAGGCCGAGCACGCTCGACCCCGTGTGCCGTGGCCGTCGGGGTAAGTGTGAGGAAGCTTGGAGACACTCTGAGAACCCTCAGTAGAGGCCCAAACGCTGAACCTCGTTTTGCGTGTCGCCCTAGGATTCGGAAGGTAGGCTTTGTCAGGAATAGCGGAGAGCCGTGGTAGAGACGAAGTGTCTCTTCGTCGAGCGCGCCGGGTTTTTATACCGCTCGGCGCGGCGAGCTTGGCAGGAGGGAGGCCGATCGTCAGGCGATGGCGCGGTGGTGGGAGCGGCGCGATCCCGTGTGCTCGCTTCGGCGGGGATCGGCTCGCTTCGGCGCTCGTCGGCGTCGTGCGGGAAGGCACCGGTGCGGCGGATTTCCCGCGCACACGGTGCGTTTCAAAAAATTAAAGAATTGTGGGCGCACCGCGCCCTGTCCTCGCCCGACGGAGGATCGGTCGGGCGGCATCCGGCGGTTGGCGGCCGGGGACGATGCCTTGACGTAAGGGGCGCATCGTTACAAAATTAAATTAATAAAAATTAAAAGAGGAACTTTATTTAAACATAAAAATAACAATTTTTATATTCATGTCCAACACATAGAGTGTCCGACAATTTTTATATTCAGTTCTAACACATAGAGTGTCCGACAATTTTTATATTCATGTCCAACACATAGAGTGTCCGACAATTTTTATATTCATGTCCAACACATAGAGTGTCTGACAATGTTTTAACACATCTATTATTATTCATAGATGTGATGTCCAACACATAGTGTTCGACAACTTTTTAATACATTTTTAAATGTACAAACATGATAAATACATTTTGGGTGCATTCGGGGAGACGCTTTTAACGCTATTAACGCAAACGCTATGAACTTCGTTCGAGGAGCCAATAGCGCGATAGCGATAGCAAGCTCCCCAAACGCAGCTTTAGAATAAAATTGCAATATGGCCGATGATGCGAGTTGTGCGCAAGTGATGTGAGTCATGATTGCAAGTATGAATAACAAACGAGCAATAAATCTTCTCGTTCACGCAGTGGAATTAATAGAGTCGTCATCGTCTTCTGATAGCGAAGAAGAGTTGGATGCACTCACAATCAGTAATTTGGAAACAGTGCGTCGGAGCAGACTTCCAAAGCTAAAAAATTATGTAGAAGAGGTTATTCCTAGGTGGAGAGATAAAGAATTTAAATCACACTTTAGGTAATAATAATTATACGCTTTTGTAGAACTTTCCAGGTTTCATCTATCATGTTGCAATACAATAAAAAAAAATTTTGGTTGCATGCACTTATTTATATTAAGAGGTTTTTGCTAAGTATTTGTGTACTAATTATAGCTGAGATGTTCCACAGAATATCCAGAGTCACTTTCGAGTTTGTACTCGAAATAATTGCTCCGAAATTGAGAAGAAATTTTCCAGGGTTGGAAATGATTTATCCAGAGAAGCAATTTCTTGTCGCTATTTGGAGAATGGCTACTCCAGATTCTTATAGGTTGGTATATTATATTCAATAATAAGATTTGCTTTGGGTAATGTTGCATTTTCTATTCACGACTTTTTTCTATCATAGATCAATATGCGAAAAATTTGATCTGAGTGTATCAACAGCTTTGTTGGCAACACGACGAGTTACCAAGATCCTTGCAGATTTGGCACCAACATTCATCACATGGCCAACAGGAAATAGATGTAACGACGTTTGGGCCAGATTTGAAGAAATCCGTTCTTTTCCACAAGTCATAGGAGCTATAGATGGTACTCACATCAATATTCCAGCTCCACGTGTTAACCCAGAGGCCTATATTAATCGAAAAGGTCACCATTCTATTCAACTGCAGGTTTGTAATGTGGTCACCTAGTGTATCAAGTAAAAGAATTCTTTCCTCGGACAATAATACGTACTCTATATCTTACAGGCAATTTGTGATCACACGACTCGTTTCACTCACTGCTACATTGGACATGCTGGTTCTGTACATGATCAGCGTGTCTTTCGTCTCTCAGATATCCAAGATGCATTGGGCAATGCAGAAAAATTTCCTGACGACTGTCACTTACTTGGTGATGCCGCATACAAGCTTCATGATAATTTGATGGTTCCCTATCGTGACAATGGTCATTTGACTGAACGACAAAAAAATTATAATTTCTGTCATTCTTCAACACGAGTTACAATTGAAAGAGCGTTTGGTTTTTTAAAAAATCGATTTAGATGTTTATTACATCAACTTCCTATGAATAGGACCGATTTAATTGCACATTTTATACTTGCCTGTTGTGTCATGCATAACATTTGTATATTGAAAAATGATGATTTTGACTTTTTTTTATTAAATAATGAAGTAGACGATGATGTACCTCGGCAAGATGCTGCATATGGTGTACAGACAGGCGTAATCAAGAGAGACTTAATTTGTGAAAGACTTCCAATGAGATATAGATTTTAAGAATAAAATAAAGGCAGTTTAAAAACATATCAAAGAATATTTTATTTATTTTTAATATAGTACTTCTCAGTTACATAAACCTTCCGACAGTACACTTAGAGACAGTTTTTTAATCATAAATTGGCCCTTCAATTAACCACGTTATAAAATAAAAAACTTTTTGCAGAAATTAAAACTTGTGCTCAAAGTTCGCTGCCTGTAAACTTGGGGTTATTAACTTAGGTCTTACAATTTAAACTTAAATCTAAGGACTAAATCCGATTAACTTTTCTCGGTTAAACAAGCGGTACAATTTTATAGTCATTTCTCAGGTACATCTTTATCACTAACATTTGCATAAATATTTATCGCATCAACGAAAAAAGTAAAAATCTTTGTTTACATATAAATTTTCTTAATAGTCAGTCTTCCTTTCTTATCACATATTAATCTTTTTACATATCAGTCTTCCTTTCTTATCACATATCAATCTTCTTACATATCAGTCTTCCTTCCTTATTAAAAATATCACAGATATGTACGCAAGCTACATATGTATAATTATCAGTATAAAAATAAAATAAATATTAGTATTACTTTTATAGAACGTAGTATAGTAGATGTGCACTTATCAATTAATACAGTATGCTGGCATATTTGTTAAAAATATATATATGTATATTAGCATTATACACTGTACTAAAGGAGGATTCATGAATTGCGGGACTGCGGTAATTCTACGTTGTAGTACGTTTCTACGTTGTCGTACGAAGAAAAACGTAACAATGAAACAATAGCAGTACACACAAATCTCCTTAGCGCAGTGTATTCTAGCTGTATTCTAGCTACAAACAAAAAAGTCATAATAATATAATCTATATACCACCTAGCATACGTTAGTCCAAAAAAAAAATATTTTAGCATTTTTACTATAATTTGTACTCTGACTCTTGTCTTTACTGAACGTGTTTTTTAAGTAAATATAATTAACTTCACAGTTTGTCTAACAATTTCTGCATAAATCCCAACATTTTTTTTTTAAATTCCATTTTTTCTTTGTGTCTTTCATCTTTGTTCTTTTCAGCCAAAATTCTACTTTCCATTATTGATTCAGAAATTTTTGGTGCACTTTCTTGTATCTTACGCTTCTTTCGGGGATTTAAATTGCTTAAGTCTACATCGCTAGCTGCATTAGACAGATTACTCGCTTCACTATCAGAAGAAATATAAATAGCACTTGAAGAGGCTATTGCTGGAGGCGACATGAAAGGCCGTTCACCAAGCAAAGATTCCATAACCGACATGTAGGGCCATGTTCTAGGATTATTACCTGATTTAGCATTGTGGTCCTTTATAGACTTATAGGTTCTTTTCATTCCGTTATATTTAGAAAGGCACTGAGAGCCAGTGACACAATAGCCTTTAGTAGACAACGCTGATGCAATATTGTTCCATACTTTCTTGTGGGTCATCTTACCCGATGTAAGATTATTTTCTTGAAAGCGAAACTCTTCTATCAGCAAGAGGGTTGCATTATGAGACCACTTATAGGTTGAGTCCGAGGTTGAGTCGTTTCCATCCTCTAAGATTGCGGATATATTTGCTGTATCACATTCTTTCCGTGCTATTTCCAGTTCCAGTAAACGAGTGGCAAACATAACATCTGACAAGAACATTTTGTATATATGAAAGAAATTACAAATTAATCGCATTTTTATTTTAATAAACAATAACCATTACAAAGTTTACATATTTAAAAACAATAAAAGAAGATAGAACTAACAAACACAGCTTGATTTGTATGTACATACATGGTTAACAACGAGAAACAAACTTTTCAACTTTAAATGCGGTTATTTTCAGTGCGCAAAGATAAAAACTATATAATCTTAAACTATAAAATATACGTTAGTCGCAGATTTAAATCTCGTATTGTAATAAATTGAGCTATTTGTTTATTTTTGTTAACAATGTAAAATATATTGAATTTTAGAACGTATGTATGTAATCCAGTTCTGTTTGTTACTCTTGCCTTCTTCTATTGTTTTTTATATTAACTTTATTAATTTCCATGCTATTAAAAGATAAAGATAAGATAAAGATATATACTTTATTTTACCTACAACTTTTATTTGATCATAATTACACAATACTACCTACATAACCTGTATCATCAATTATTTACCTTTCTGTGCACGCGCTGCATCTTGTGGAGACAATTTGATAGAATAATTTATTCCTTTTTCTTCATCAAACAAATTAATTTCGACTTCACTTGGCCCTTGGTCCATTGCTGGAATTGATATTCGTTACGTTTCGTTATCTGGCAGTACTTCTGAACGCAGCTACTATAAGCAATCAAGTGTTCGAGGAGACAATAAGCGCCAATAGCATTTCGTGCCTCACCTCGAAAATAATAGCGAAAATAGCGCGAGTGATGACGTCACGCTGCCTTTACAGTGACGTCATCATCGTATATCATAGCGCCACAAAGCGTCTCCTCGAACAGTTTTGGACGATAATTGTGCTAAAAGCGTGCTCCCCGAATGCACCCTATGTCAACGCAGTAATGCGTAAAGGAAGGTTTCAGATGTTTTGGTCCAACCAATTCACCTTGAAAATGCAAATTGAGAAACTTCAATTGTGCATAACCTCATTGCGAAATGTCCTACGATAGCCTAACCATCGGGCGGTAGTGACTTCAAAAAGGTAAGACGCATAGGCGAGATTCAGGTGTCTTGGTCCAACCAATTCGCCTTGAGAATGCAAATTGAAAAATTTCAATTGTGCACATAATCTCGCCGCGTAACGTCCTCCCAGCTAGCAAGTTGGGTCGGGGCGGTAATGATCTTAAAATGGTAAGATGCATAGGCGTGATTCAGGTGTTTTGGTCCAACCAATTCGCCTTGAGAATGCAAATTAAAAATTTTAATTGTGCACATAACCTCGCCACGTAACGTCCTTTTAACCATCAAGCCCGTTCGGAGCAACTTTAAAAATGGGTAAGATGCATAGGCGAGATTCAGGCGTCTTGGTCCAACCAATTCGACTTGAGAATGCAAATTGAATTTCAATTGTGCACAAAACCTCACCGCGTAACGTCCTCCCAGCTATCAAGCCTGTTCGGGACTGTACTGACTGTAGCGACTTTAAAAAAGGGATTTAGTCTTGGTCTAACCAATTCGACTTGAGAAGGCAAATTGAGAAACTTCAATTGTGCACATATATGTAATATGCATATGCAAAGCCAGGTGTTTTGGTCCAACCAGCTCACCTTGGAAATGTGTGATTGATAAATTTCAATTGCATACATAACCTTTACTCATAACATCTTGTTTCAGAATATCATCAGAAAGGTAAATAATTTCGACCAGACTGCCAATCGACAACTATTGACTGAGGATGGTATCTAAAATTTTTTAGAAATTATTGCGGAAATATTATCCGTAAATATATTGGTTCAACCAATATATTAAAAAACAATCCGAGTATAACTCGCCTTGAAACTATTAGAAAGACTATTTTTCCTCGAATACGAATATCCTTACAGGCGATATTATGATGCCAATAGGAAAAGCTGTAGTCGTTATTATTTGGAAGGTCTTTCTTACGACAAGTATTTCTTAAGAACTAGTGCGTATCTGTTCCTTAGTACGTTTAGCAGCGATCCTTAAGATGAGGTTTAAAAAGACGCTTGTAAATCTGCTTAGCGTCGAGACGGTAAGAGTCGTGATACGAGGAGTCGCTCTCCTGTTTGATCGTAGATATGTTCAGAGATTGCATTTTGCCTGATAGAATCCTAAAACCAGCGGATTACAAAGATCTTGTAGTCAGGCGGGAAGACGTCTTTGTAAAAGATCTTCCCTTGGAGGAGCAAAAGGTCCTGCTGAAAAAGTATTCAGGTGTCTTGGTCCAACTAATTCGCCTTGAAAATGCAAATTAAAAAATTCCTCCGGAAAACTTATACGGTAATAAATCCACTAAATATAAATTTGGAGGTTAAATCTGTTTTAGACAGCACTATTGTAAGAGGACGAGCGTATGGTTGAAAAACCAAAATTGTGCGGCAATCAATGAAGCACAGAACGACTGCTGCCATTGCTGGAATTGCAAGGGCCTCGAGTTCTAGAAACTCGCGAGGCCGTCTCGCCGAAATCGACAGAGGCCATACGGTCAATCGAAGGCGAGCGAGCAGAGGCAAATGTACAGTCAATAACAGAACTTGTCCTCTCAAAATCACATTACCGGTGCGTTACCGGTTTGAAGCCGGAACAAGCGCCTACGAAAAGAAATTAGTTGTAAGTAAGGTTGCCAATAGACTGACACAACCTAAATGTCAATGAGACAACTCATATATACGAAAGAACCGCAATAGCCGAGCAGGTAAAGATACAGATTCGTAACAAATAGTACAGCTATCGAGGAAGCAGGCCATTCCGAAGTATCAGCCAGTTTCAAATTAATTATTTCGAGAATTATCTTGTTTCCAAATTTAATAAATTTTTTACAGATTAATCCTTAATCTGAAAAAGCTTTATAAGTTATAGCTTAATAAATAAGTTACCAATATGTTGAGCATCTTGAATAAAAGACAGAAAAAAGGTCAAACAAATTCTGGCTAAAGGATAATTCCTGGCGTCGATTGATTTGAAGGACGCATATTTATTAATTCACATTGTTGATTCAGACAATATAAGTACTTAAGAATTTTGTTGAAGGTGCTCTTTATGAGCTAAAGTTCCCGTTTTTGTGCAAAACACGGCTTCGTACACTTTTATAAGAACATTTCATGAAGCCAATCTCTTACCTAAGAAAATTGGGCTACTTATCCTTTAATTAATTAATTGGATGGCTTTTTTCTTCTAGATGAGACATATACGGTATGTTTGAGAAACATACAAGAAACATGCAGTTTTCTGGAATCACTATGATTCATAATGAGTAAGAAAAGGAGAAAAATGAAGCTGCCGACCAGAGATATGGTTCTTGGTTTGATTAGGATACGAGTACCTAAAATTAGTGAACAGCTTATAAATCCGAGGCAATTACACGATATTCCATTCGAGATTTTTGTCAGGTTACACCGGGATAACCCGAGATTTGATACGGATTTGATACGGATATAATACTTGGTACGCGTATCAAACAGTCCGGTGTAAACTAGGCCCCATGTATCGTTACCCGAGTCCTCTCTGATCGTTACCGAGCGTAACGCCGTAGTTGACGTTCACTTTCTCAGAGGGCAGATTAGGACAGACGTTCCCCGAAGCCGGATGGCCGCTCTCAGGTTTCTCTCTGGCCTAGCAATCGTGAGCAGTCGCTCGTTTTCGCTCGTTTCCTCTCCTTTTAATCCATTGGGTCAAAAGAGAGGAAACGAGTGAAAACGAGCGACTGCTCACGATTGCTAGGCTAGCGGAGTATCGGCTGAACGCACCCAATATATGTATATTATATATTACCTAATTTAATTAAATAGAAATCTTCCTCCTGACCGATAAGTCTATCGACTTAATTTCGAAATACGCGCGCGATATCGAAACTGGCGATACCTGCGCCGCCAGCGTCGAAAAAGTGAAAGTGACGTTTCTCTGATAATCATAATAATATTGAGATGAGAGCGGTCGACGTAGACGACGACGACGACGACGACGACGTATCTTAATAAAAATTTTTTCCATTTGGACTTTGCGTCGCAATATCTCTGCTCGTAGGGCACGTAGCGGAATATTATGAGAGAAACCCCCCCCTAATTGGATCCAAAGCTATCGATCAAGCCTACTTAGAACTTGATCCGTTCACTCGTTATCGAGATCTCAACATCTCGGGTACTCGCAACCCGTCGCGTCGCGTAAAAGAGTCACGGTCGGTCTCGCTCCGCGTGTACTTGGCGCGAGACACTACCGTGTCTCTTGATAAGATTCTTCTGAGCCGTGAGGTTGTGAATCTGCAGGGCTATGATCATCATCTCGATCTTTAGCATCGATCACGAAGAAATCATTGGCAACAATGGCAAACTTTTCAGAATATATGCGATAATAATAGTAGAAGTAATGTGTATTATAAATTTTATTTTTCTAATAGCTCCTAATAGATTGCATTTGCACAAACGTTGAGCACAAGATCCTGATCCTCCCCAGCTGCCATGCTCAATCGCTGGAACAAAGATTTCACGGGCCGTTTTATTCTACTGTGTCATATCCTATCTACGTATAGTATAGCGTAAATAAATAAGTCAAGCTTGATTCATAGAAAAGTTATTGTATTAAAATTAATTTTATCTTCCGCAAAAATTAGCAAGAGAAATATTACATGAGCACATAAGAAAAATAAATAATAATGAATAAACGTGGACGAACCACAAACGGATTTGTAACAGTGATAACATCTCCAGTAATATGGTACAAAGTATGAGAACATGAGGCATTCTGTAGCGTCGTAGCACCAGTCGTGCATCTTGCAACACCTGAAACATTACATTCCATTGATATTTGTTTTCTGTGAAAAGCAATTCAACGATTGTAAATAATATTTCCTTTCTATATAAGCTTAAAGAATGTATAAACGTATATACTGGTCGATACCGTCGATGACGTAACCGAAGAATCCGCAGTAGCAACCGTATCCCTTGTAAGCTAAAGAATTACACCTTGTGGCGCACACTACCATGTTGTAAAGGTGTATCACCTTTTTTGATTCTCGTATGGCCCATGGTCGCTCTTTTACTCATTCTAAAATTACGTAGTCTTCACGTAGTCCGATATTACAAATTGTCAAGTTACAAATTAATAAAACGTTTCCATTACAGTTAGGTCCGCTACTTACACGGATTGAGGCTTCGTGTTGTTTATTGTCGTCGCATTATTGGACAATATGACGCGCACGTGGACATCCTTGTCGTAAATATACGCGCCGAGGAAGCGCTCCATGAATCGCCTTCGTCACCGACGTAGAGATCCTCCTGATTTTATTAATTTATATCGTTATTCATATACGAATAATGGTAGTCCTTCTGGCGCGTTCTGGCACCTCCAAGTATCTTATAAACATCTGGTGTACCTTTACCTGCAAGCGCCGCAAAGTGCTGATAGATAAAATAAATAGCGTTAGCGAGAGAGAAAGAGAAAGATTGCACGACACTTACATACTGCAGTTATAACAACAATATACTGCAGTTATAACCGTAATTCGTCATACTTATATTAATATTGCACCATCAATTGCATTTACTGCAATCTTTATCTATCGAAAATTTAGCAAATTAAAAATCATTGACTTTCTACCATTTTTTATTATGGTATAAAATACTTAAAAATTATCGTGCAGCTTTCTACACATAAAAGAGCTAAGTGGAGAGTATGCTATCAATACCACAGGAATGATCTCTTTTTTAGTAATTCCATCGGTTACTTCTACCGGTGAGTTTGAAATGTATTTCCTGAA